GCCTCTGTGCTAAATATGTATTTTTGTGAGAGATTCGCTCCCCTCTGCGCGTCAGCATCATTTGCTTTGTGCTGCAGCAGAGGCAGCCTGCTGGGCTTGCATCCTGCAGCGGGGCCGGGTGGCTGGTCTGCAGGGTGGGGGGGCTGCACCATTATTTGCATTGAGGTGTCTCAGATCTCCTCAGATAGAAAATTCAGAAGGAGATGCAGCCAGCTCACGTGCACCTGGGAAGCTGCGGGGCCGGAGCCGCCTGCGTGTGGCGCGGAGCAGTGGCAGGTTGCCACGTGCAGCAGGCAAGGAGCAGAGCTGTGCTGCGTGTTTGGAAGAGCTTCAGGGGTGCACAGCTGGGCCATTCCCACTTCTAGTGGGCACTCGTGAGCCTGGGGCATCATTTTGGTAGCAGAGCCCCTTGCAGCTGTGACACGGGTGTTTCCCGTGGGAATGTTTCATGCTGCAGCCACTGCTTTGAATGCAATGGGGAACCTTGCTCTTTGCATACAGCACTTCTCACTTGGAGCGTTTTTAAGCTTTCTTTCCTTAAAGCTGTAATTTGAAATTCAGCTGCACAAGTACTAGCAAGCACTTGATCACCCAGCATCTCCTTTCTGTTCTTATTCAGAGCCACAAATTCACAGCTGCGGCTGAGGCTCCAAGTACTGAATCCCAGTCAAACCTTTTAGCACTGACATTGCAATGGGCAGTTTTGTTTCTGTATCTGCTGTTGGTCAGTAGTCGTAACATTATGATTGCTACAGGAGCTCCAAACTCAGTGGCCTCTCAGGACAAGTTGTTGGCCTTATTGCTGTGGCACTGCTTGCGTTGTGTTGTGTTTCCAGTGCTCTCAGAGATTTCCATCACCCTGCAAACTCCCAGCCGGGTGCAGAGCTCTGAAGGCAGGGCTCTCAGCCCAGGGCTGTGTTTAGGGCAGCCCCAATGTCCTGTGAGCACCACTGGGTGCTGTTGTGCTCTTTGCTATCAGAGCGAAGCCGCACCACTTCCCTGCCTGCTTCTGATCCTTGGCTTCCAGCACAAGCTAAATAGACTATACTAAATTTTTTAGGCTGCTTCACAGGCTTTGATCCTTGGCTTTGATTTCCCACACGGTATCACAGTCCGCTGGTTCTGAAGAAACAAGAGGCCCATTAAGTGCTGCCCAGCCTGGCGATGATCGTCCCTCTCCAGCATCACACCACGCTCCCATCCAGGCCTGTGCTTGGGGATGTGCCCAGCCCCTGCTCCACTGCCCACCCCCATCAGCTCCTCGCCGTGCCTGGCTCCAGCAGACGCTCAGGGCAAGCAGACAGTCCTTCCTACCAGGGTCTCGTTTATGCTTTGTGTGGTTCGTACACTGCTTTGGCAAGAAGCAGGTCAAGAAATAAATATTCTGTGTGTGTCCTTGCCAGAGCAGTAGAGATGAGGGCGTTTGCCTGCCTGCCCTGCTCTGTGCTTCCAAGTCCCCAAACCCCTCCACACCACTTGACTTTTCTGGTTTTTTTTTTAATTTAAATCTAATTTTGCTGCTGTACTGCAAGCTCCTGTCTAACTGGAGAGCCGCTGTTGCCTCAGGGCTGTGCTGCTGCTTTTCAGTCTTCCCACGCCCTTCCAATGTGCAGTCTGGAAAAACTTGAAAAAGACTCTTTCGAATTTGGGCATGTGTGCCTTGGGTCGTCCGAAGATGGGGGCTCTGCAAGGTGACAGTGTAAGGGTATTCCTCAGCAGGGAGCACTCTCTATGTCTGTTCTTCAGCAAAATGGGAGCTGGTTCCACATGAATGTGCAGGATTTGCAGTCCCCCAGCCTGCAGACAGCTACACTGGAGCACATCCGTGCTGCTCACTGGTGGGCCCTCTGGCTGGCCATCCCTGTCCTACAGCCTTGCTGCTGCCACAGGACGCTTTAGTGGGAGGAAAAAGACTGGAGCAAACAGCCTGACCTGATGGCTGTAGGGAGGTGCCTGGGAGGCCTTCTGTGCCTGCCCAGGGCAGGACTGCTCAGCCACAGCTCTGTGCCAGCTTTTTTCAGCTTCCCTGCCCGTTCCAAGCTGCAGCACCACTGATCACAGCATGCCTGCACTTGCTTGTATTAATTTTTCTCTCTGAGGCTCGTGGTATTTTGGCAAACAGGCCTCAGCTGTAATAATTTCTGGCCCCTCGTGGGAAGTTATAACTCTGGCATAGTGAAATATAAACCGGCAGAAAACAGAGTGTTTCCTTCTGCAGCAGGCAGGTTCAGAGGTTTTCTTATCGCTTTCTCTCCTTGCTTTTGTTTTCCCCTTCTCAGCCAAAGGGCACAGTCACCCTCCTTCAAAAGAGCAAAAATGTGCTGGACTGATAAAATGGTGCATTAAGTTGGTGCTATGCAAAGGTACAGCTTCAGGAGCCTGGGGAGGAGGCAGCAGTGGGAGGCATAAGTATTGTTTGTCTTGTGGCTAAAACCAGGCATCCTCACTGCTGCAGTGTGCAGGCAGTGCTGGTGGCCCCAGTCACTGCCTGTCTGCAGAGCAAGAGCTTGGAGAGTTGGCCTGGGTTGGGATTTTAAGGTGCAGAGAAGAGAAGCAGACCAGAGGCCCTGGAGAAGGTCTGGCAGCTGGGATCTTCACCAAGAAGGTCTGGTGCCCATGTCCATCACTTCTGGTGGGAAGCTGCTGGAGCCTGAGTGCAGCACTTGTATGGGGCTGACCCTCACCCAGCCCTGAAGCTGCGTCGTCTCACCTGCACCCACACCTCTGCCCTCCCCATGCAACCAGGGCTGCTCATTGCAGGCTGTTTGCAGGCTCTGCCCCACTCTCCCAGCTGCATTTCAGCCCGTTCTGCTGCTGATGCCAGCATCCCCTTATCTAGTGACAGATTAGCACAGGTTGAATTTTCTATGATAGCAGTCCACAGTCTGTCTCATTGTATTTATTTTGTTCAGGCAGCTTTTCCCTGGGCTTGACAGTGTAATTTGTACAGATCTGTGCTGAATTTTCAAAACCCTCAAATGAGCTTTTTGTTAGTGGACAACTGATGGTGGAGACATTAAACAACAGAAACGCTGAGAAGTGAGCAGCACACCTAGCATCCAGGAAGGCTTCCTAACCTCCAGAGGTACTCTTTGGCAAAAGCTCCATGGTTCAGAGATTTTAATTAGATCTGATACTCCGGGTGACCAGCCAAGCATTAAAAGGCATAGCGGTTTTTCCGTTACATCCCTTGCTGTGGAGTTTTTTATTATTTATTTTAGATAGATGTGACAAAGAACTTCAAGATCCCAGTTTGCTTTGAATGGCACGAAGAGCTCTGCAGTCTGAGAGCTCCTTTCTGTGCACTGTGAACCAGAATGTGGCTGCCTGCAAGCTTGCTCCACACCCACCCTGCCCCCCCCTGCCTGGAGTAACGTTAATATGAGGTTGGAGGGAGTTTTAGGATCAGAAACTGTATTTCTGAGTGTTGCCAGCTCCTCCTTGGAGTCTGGAAGTGCAGCATTCTCCTTCTCGTCCTCGCCACTAATGGAGCTGCAGTGCCTGACAGCGCTGTGGATGAGATGCCAGGCAGAACCTGAACCCCTGCATCTCCGTTTCACCAGGAGAGCTCAGAGCAGAAGCAAACACAGCCCAGCTGTACACACAGACGTAGAGACCAAAGCTGTCACTGCTGGAAACAGGGCTGGAAGAAACCCTCCTGCTGCCTGGCTTGCAGCACAGCCTGTCTAGGTTCTGTGTCTCTGGACTCCCACAGGAGCCCAGTCGCAAGCCCTGAATATGTCTGCCTTAAATTCACCTGGGCAGAAGGGCGATGCAGGATTCATCCACCTCTCTGGGGGAGCTCTCCCTTCCCTCTTGCTGCCTGGGGGTTCGTGTCCTACTCGGCACCTCTGTGTGCTGGCTGTGTTGGACACGTCTGCAGCACAACCCTGACTGCTCTGAGAGCTGATGTTCACCTGTCCTGCCATCGTGCTCTTCCATCTTTGCCCTGGGGAAGTGGGAAAGTGGCTGAGGCTGGAGCAGTACTGGGATGCTGTGGGCAGCCCCTGTGCATGTGCTCACTGTGGGTACAGCTGGAGCTGGGAGCAGTGGTGGTGGAGCTGCCCTGGGCTGGAGCTGCGTGTGCCTGGGGGCAATACACAGAGCTGAGGGTTTTGCTGTGTTTTTGTGAGCTAATAGCAAGCCACCAGTTAAATTCGAGGCTGCTCCCTACCCAAGTCCATTTATCCTCTGTTTTTGTTTTTTTATGACCCTGTCTGCCTCTGTCTCATTTCTTGTGTGATTCTCTGCGCTGGCTGTTCTGCAGCTTTCTGCAGCAGTGAGAGCAGTGGGTGTTTGCTGTAGCAGGGATGCTGACCTCTGTGTAATGTGGTGCAATTGCTGCTTCAAAGCCCAAAGGCTGAAGTGCTGGAGCTCTCCCTCAGAGCTGATGAGACCTGGGATCAGTGTGAGACTTCCAGGATGCTGTGTTCTGACTGAGCACTGCCAAAAAGAGAGCCAGCTGCACCCAGCACAGCCCCAGGGTGTGCTGCAAGTGGGGTCTGTGCTGGGACAGCTGTTCACACCCAGCCCTGTCGTTTCACCCCATTCTTCTAGACAGAGGGATGCACTCAGCCTCCTCTAGTCCTTGAGAAGCACTCGATGAGAGATGTGTGGGTGGCCAGACAGGCACAGTCTGGTTCAGAGGCCCCGGGGACAGCGGGTCCTTCCTCCAGGTGAAGCTGGGGCAGGACTGGTGCTGCAGCGTGGGCACGCAGCAGCAGGGGAGTGTGGGTGTAAATCAGTAGGGCAACAGTGAGCGAGGGGGAGGCGAGTGCCAGCACAGAGGCCATTAAGGAGCAGAGGCAGTGCGGAGCTGGAGGATTAATGGAGCAGTAGCTGCAAGGCAGGGACGAGGGAGGGCTCCTTGCTGGGGGCAGATGGGCAGGACGTGGGCACACAGCAGGGCAGCATGAGTGGCCCAGCAGGCGTTTTCCCATCTGCGCTGCCATCCCCTCGGCCCCCTGTGTGTGACACATCTTTGTGTGTTTTTTCTGCAGCAACCCCAAAGTCCAGATAGAAGCGATTGAAGGAGGAGCGCTGCAGAAGCTGCTGGTCATTGTGGCTGCGGAACAGCCACAGGCTGTCAAGAAGAAGGTGAGCAGGCAGGGATCACCTCTGGGTAAAGCCATTTGGGATGCAGCTCTTTACAGGGTATCACACCTTATAATTGCTCACGCGAGCATGAGACCTGTGCTGCATCCATTCTGGGGGCATCTGATGACTCCGTGCCCTCCAGCATGGTGCTGGTGGCCGGGTCACAGCTCAGTAGCCCTGATTGGTTGGTGCCAGCTCTGTGGTCTCACCCTCATTGCACACAGGGGTGCACATCCCCGCCTTGGGGCACAGGCTGGATGCTGCAGCTCTGCTGGGGGAGAGGCGAGGATGCCCGCAGCAGGCAACAAGCTCAGAGGGCAGCAAGCACAGGAGCTGACATTTGGAAGGAGCTAATTGCCAGAGCCCGCCCTGCGCCCTGCCTCTGGCAGTGGCCGGCAGCGGAGGCTTCGCAGCGTGGTGAGCAGCTCAGAGAGCCCCCAGCCAAATGTGCAGTGCTGTCCGTTGGGCTGGGGGATCCCTCGCTGCCTCCCCGCCGTGCTCCCCAGAGCGTGAGATCTAATTACCCTCGCTTTGGCATCTGATGCCACCACTGTTTGTTGGCCACAACGTTTTCTATCGTCTCCTGCACATCCAGCCCCACTGCTTAACATGGTGACCTTCTGCAAGATGGAATTTGATGGGGCGATGCAACTCACAGCACTTTTGTTCGCCATTAGCAAACAGTGAAGTGCTGCATGAGTTTTAACAAGGGGCTTCCACAAACATGTTCCTCTCTGGTCTAAGGCAAAACCCTGGGAGGGGCTGGGCGGTCCCCAGCTGTTTGGCTGCACCCTCGCTGCTGGGTTGGAGCAGTGCCCGCAGGCAGCTGCTGCACTGAAACTCCTCAGAGTGCTCAGGGACCAACCTGCAGCTCACTGTGGGATAGGAAGCACGGCTGGGATGCAGAGAGCCTGACCAGCACCTCCTGAACCCTTGGTGGGTATGGACCCATTCCTTTCAGCAAACACAAACGTGTCCTGCTGGCAGCAGCTGGAGGAGAGTGGAGGAGAGGGATGAGCTCAGTGCCATCTGTGTTTCTGGGTGGCATTGTGGAGCTTCCAAGGGCAGAGCTGAGGCCCTTTTCCAGGAGGACAAAATTTCTGCAGCCAGTTCATGTGCCCACACTGCCCCCAGCTCCCCAGGCCAGGTGCCCATGATGAGTTGGTTGTGCCCAGGCTGTAGGTTTCCACACTGATGCTCTCAGCACTGTGCGGCGCGAGGCCAGAAGTGCATTTTTTCATTCCCTGATCCTTTGGCCTATGGAAAAAAGGAGACAGAAACATCACTGATTTACCGGAGGCAACTCCAGGGATGTAAAATAGTAACAAATGGGGTCGAGGAAGCAATGGCTGTCAGCTCGGATCTGTCCGCAGCACAGGGCACGAGGCTCGCTGTGGTGCGGGGCGCTGGTGCTGCTGGATCCATGAGGCACCCACGGCCCCGCAGTTCTGCCTGAGGGTGGTGTCAGCCCAGCACTGTGCTTGAGAGCAGTCATCAGAATGGGTCTGTTGACCCCTGCTTGCCCCCTGCCATGCCAACCTGTCTGCTAGGGACATCTGTTAGAAGTGAGCATACGTGGGCTGCTGCCACACTCACAGTATGTGACACTGCTCCTTGACTGGTCCTCTCCCTTCATGAGGCAAGAGAGATGATGGTGTCCAGATGGTGTCCCTGGTGTCCAGATCACCTTCAGCCCTGCTTTGTCCTCTTTGGGCATCTTTGCCCATGGCCAGGCTCAGTGTTGAGGGCAGAGGGAGGGAACTGCGTGGATTGATGCTCTGAGATAGTGCAGGTGCTGGCTATGTGTCTCTGTGGGTCACCAACTCCTGCAGTGATGCTTGGGGAGGGAGTTCAGGTGCACATCAGCCAAGGGTTGGAGTGGGTGGTGTTGGAGAGGTTTGGGATGCTCTGCATGGCTGGGCAACCCAACGGGCTGCATGGGAGCTGTGGAGGGCAGCCCACACCCCTCTGTGCTGCAGCATTACAGCCCTGCTCCCCAGCTGACACACCGCTCTCCTGCAGGCACTCTTCGCTCTCTCCTCGCTGCTGAGGCACTTCCCCTATGCCCAGCAGCAGTTCCTCAAGCTGGGCGGCCTCCAGGTGCTGCGTGGGCTCTTCAGACAGCCAGGGACCTCAGCCCTGTGTGTCCGTGCTGTGACGTTGCTCTATGACCTCTTCGTGGAGAAGGTGAGGGCTGTGGGGCAGTGGGACGGGGCATCTTCTCTAGGGGAAGGGTCGCTCCCAGCTCCTGTGCTGGAGCTGCAGCTCCTGCAGCCTTATTTTCACATACTGTGGATTACTTGTCACCATTTGTTATTTAGTTTGTGTGTCTCTCTTACTCCAGAGAATGGGAATTAAATCCACTTTCACTCTGTTTATAGCCAATTTGCCCTGCAGATTATCACTGCTTTAACACTCGGATTCCAGGCACGGCAGAGGAACAGCTGTGTTCTTAAACAATTGTTTTCCACGGGATTTTGTGAAGGTGCACATTATTTTGATGGGCCTGAGATCCCATCAGGTGTGGGCTCTGACACCCTGTTTGGGAATTGCTGAGTCCCAGCCTGAACCGCTGATTGAGCACCTGGGGAAAGGATCCGGTGGGCCCTGGGAGCACTGATGAAGGCAATTCAGCTGTGTGACTCGAAGGGGTGGAGCCTGGCTGCACCTCTCTTAGACCTCATTTAAGGGCTGACTGCCACTGGGGAAGGATCTCTGGTTGGAGATCCCTCCTTTGTGGAGTTTTTTTGTGAGCCTGGATCTTCAGAAATGGGTGAGCACCTTTCCTTTGTAACACTATTCCATTCACACTAGTCCCTTTGCTACTGTGCTCTTGTATTGCCCTTCTACTGCGCTGACCTTCCTGATTGTAATGCTGTGCTGCCCTGCCCCTTTGCACGCAGTAGAAGGGTCCATGGGCCTGGCTCCTTCTGCCTGCCTGTGTGCACCTCATGCAGTGCCACCTGCCCCAGCTTTGCTCTGGCTGGAGGAGCTCCAAAGGCCCTGCAGAGCCTCAGGTTTGTGCCCACATGTGGCTGTTGCTGCTTACAACTCTCCAGGCATAGCCCCTTCCAGAACCTGCAGGGGAAGCAGGAGGATGCTGGAACCTGGTGGGGAGCAGGACTGGGCCAGATGTGGCCAGGTTTGGGGTTGCCTGGGTGAAACTGTGCGTCTAAAATCATAAAGTAACACCAGCCCCTGTGAGTGCCAGCTCTGCACTGAGGTACAGAGCAGCATCTGAACGACATTTGTCTTCTCTTTTTTTCACCCCAAATCCTGAATGTCGAAGTACAAATGGGCATTCAGCAGTAGTGCTCCTGGGAACTAGGGTTGTGGTGGTATCATTTCTCCTCATCTCTATGCCCAGCAGTTCAGTGGCACAGAGTGCTGTGGTGGAGCAGCTGACCTGGGGGTAGCAGAAGAAAGGTTTGGAGAGGCGCCACGGACATCCTTGGGGACCCAGCTGACCCTGGGGTCAGGACTGTCCCCAGGGACTGTGAGAGGCACGGCTCTGCCTCTGCTCCCCTGGCTGAGGGTTTCTGCTCCTTGGCCCTACAGAAGCCTGAATCCTCCTTCACCTCACCTGAGATCCCTGGCACTGAGCTGCATGTGCAGCAGCGTGCATCGCACGTCTCCTTGTCATCATCTGCCCCTTGCCCTCCCACAGATGCTGCTGGAGGACTCTCAGCACAGCGACCAAGCAGAGGAGAAGGTGCAGCAGTACCGGCGGGTGCAGCTGGTGCCGGCGGTGCTGGAACAGGACTGGTGTGTGGCAGTGCCAGGGCTGCTGGCTTTGCCAGAGCACGACGCACGTGAGAAGGTACTGAAGGCGGTGGCTGTGCTGATGGCGTTCTGCAGGGAGCGCTTCCGCGGGGACACGGCCCTCAGTGCCACGCTGGGGCTGCTGCGCAGTGAGTATGAGGAGCTGGCAGCTGCTGAGCGCAGGGACGGCGATGGGGATGGGTACTTCCAGGAGCTGCTGGGCTCTGTGAACAGCATCTTGCAGGAGCTGGGCTGAGGCCGGAGCTCGGATGGGTCAGGATAACGGTGTGATGTGTGGTGTCACCTGTGTAAGTGCACTTTGAATAAATGGCTGAGCTAAGGAAGTCTCCCCAGTGGAAATGTGCCAAGAGTTTGTTATTGGATGGAAGTGCTGGGGGCACATATCTTTAGCACTGAGCAACTCTGGAAAATAGAGGTCTGTGCCCTGGAGGGGCAGGCCGGTTCCAGCTCACACTGCAGCCATCTAGACAAGGACCTGATGCAGATGCCCTCTGAGCCCAGTATGGTGTGGTTCTGGGTCCGCTCCTTCCATCCCAGGAGAGCGTGGTGTGGTGAAGTGTGCCTTACCCTGTGCAGAACCTCTTGCTGCCTGCCTGCCTTCCTCCTGCCCTTAGAGGTGGGCTGCAGAGAGTGATGTGTAGTGCCCAAGGCCTCGGATGAGGAAGGTGCAAACTCCCAAATCCTGCTTGTGTGCTGTCCTGCTGCAAGTACGTTGCAATGCTGAGCCGCTTTGTAGAGCAGGCTGTGAGCACTTCTCATTTCTGTTCTCCATCCCAGCATTGCTCTCTGGCAGCTGCAGGTATTCCAGTCAGTGCTGCTCCTGCTGCAGGGCGGCAGTGTGACCCAGGGCTGGAGGTGCTGATGTTAGCAACACCATTGCAGAAAAATAAATTAAAACCAATAAGGGAAGGCTGCTGGTTTTGTATGCAGCCCTGTGGCGTTGCCCATGAGCTCACTGCAGAGCTGCCTGTGCCAGCCCTCACCCACTGGAGCTGAGGTATGTCTGGCTGTGGCTGTGGTTGATTGGCTGTCATCACTGCGGAGCAGTGCTAATTGCAAGTATTGATTTGGTGGTGGTTGTTTTTTTTTTTTTTTTTTCATTCTCTCTTTAGGTTTTGATTCGGGCTGCCTTCCTGGGATTAGAAATTATTTTTGTTTTTGTTCCCAGCTGCCTGCTTAGGGCTAGGGTTGCTGTAGGGTTAAGAGTAAATATCATCTGATGGCAGTCGCTGCTGGGGGGACAGATCTCAGTACTGGGGCAGAGCTGGGCCCTATGCAGTGCTAAATTGGAGTGAAACATCCTGGCTCTATGGCTCTCATGGCCCTCAGCCTACAGGGGTGTATGCAGCAGTGTGTGCTCTGTGCTCTGTATGCAGTGCCTTGCCAGTGCCATAGTCGGGCCACCTCCGGGCAGCAGTGAGGACAGCTGTGCCCAGGGAACCCCACAGTGGTCAACAGTGGTGTCCCTGCCCTCAGCGGGGACTCATTGCAGAAAATGCAGTTCTGCTGGGCTTTGCCTTTTCTGCTTTCCCTCCCCGGTCTGTTGTGTCCCACCTTGCTCACATGGGGCCCAGATGCACAACTGCACAGATGAGCCGCTCACCCCATGGCTTCGGGTGGTGCACATGGAGAAGTACAGCTGACAGCATTTCCATCCTACTGCCAGAGAAGTGCAGGGGAAGAAGAATGTCCTAAAAGCAAAAGAAAAGGAAAAAGAGAAAAAAAAGAAGTTCCTGGAATTGCTTACCAAAAAGCACTCTGATGCTCAGGGAAGGTGCTGCTGAGATAGTGCAGGCAGTCCCTGCGGCCAGAACCCAGACCTAAGGGCTCTGCCTGCAGGCTCAGGCTCACAGCTTTTCCCACCACCTGTGACTGGGCAGCCACTTACCCTATCAGTGTCTGCAAGCACCAACAAATGGGAGCTGCTGGCAGGCAGTGTGGCTGTGGTTGTACAGCACTTCTGCCCCAGAGACCGCAGCGGGGAGCGCAGCGCTGCACCACAGCTGTGTATGCTGGGCTCTGTGAGGGAGGAGCTGCTCCTTTGGGTGCATGGGAGCTCCTGCTGCACTCCTCCATCCGCAGAGAGAACAAGCAGCTGGGTGGTGTCCCTGAGCAGGGCAGCGCTGGCAGAACATCCCCTGTGCACTTCTTAGCACTGCTGTGGGCTGTGCTCACACACTGCTGCCAGAGGAAGAGCCTTCCCTCCAGCACTGCAGATGAGACAAACTGCACAAGTCCTTCCCCAGAGCTTAATTACATCAAGCAGTAATTACTGTAATTCTTCTCAATTGGCTCTAATATAGTTACGGTGCTGCTCCTGTGCTGAATGCAGCCTGCCTGGACCCCGGTGGCTCCTGAAGGCCAGGGATGCTCCCAAAAGTCACAGCAGAACATGGGTTTGCATTTACTTAAAACCTGGATGGATCTAAACGTCCGTTTGTTGCGATTTATTTTCGTAATGCTAATAGATGGGGTTCTGGAAGAGTGGTGTGTTTGACAGCCACTGAACAGCGCGGGGAATAGAACCTTTCAGGCTATTACATTAATGCCAGAAAAAAGAAAAGCCACACTGTGTGAAAGCAGACAGTAACCACGCATGGGAAAGACACACAGCGTTAACCCTCGGGTGCTTGTGGGGCAGCAGAGCAGAACGGCCCTGTTGGGCAGCAGAGCTGCGGGCAGCAGTGACACAGCAGTGCACTGTCACCTGTCCTTGGAGGCTGCAGCACTTGGGAGCAAAATGGGCAACATTACTGCAGTAACTCCTAATCCTGATCAGTGGTTGGGTAATCGGACAGCAATAAGCTTGATAGAGTAAATTGTGATTGAGGTAAATGGAATTAGAACATAAGAGCTGCCAATGAGCGGCTCTCAAATTCAGTTACAGTCACAGCACTGCACACACAGGGCACCAAATCCCGGCCCCTGAAGCGCTCCCAGCCTTCTGGGGAATGCGGGACCTCGCTGGTAGGAGTAGAACACACTGACAGTCGTAGCATGTAAATAAGAGTGAAAGGATGCCTGTAGGTACATCTCCACACAGTGCCCGGTCGCAGCGCAGCCAGCGAGAGCTGCTGGGTGCACACAGCTGTGCTGGGAAATGGGCACAGTGCTGACTGTGTGCATGTGGGGAGGAAGCACCAACACCACGCACAGCACAACGCACGGGTGGGAAAAGCGACTTTATTGTGTCCTGCAGCAACATCAGCGGTCTGTAACCAGGCATTACCACTCTCATGTCACACAGAAGCCAGCAGCCATGCGCCAGCAGCCATGGGGGCGCAGGGATGGGAAGCAGAGCACAGGGAGCAGCGCAGCCCCTCCTGGCCCTGCCCGGCTGTGTGCCATGCAGGAGGTGCTCGCTGTGTTCTCCTGCTCCTTTCAGCACACGTTGCTCACTGGCTCTCCCCTCCCAGCAGGAATACACATACATACAATAATCCGTTTCTAAAAGTTTTTTTTGGGGTGAAAAGACCTAATTTTTCCCTCCTGATCACAAGGCAAAACAGCAGTCTCCAAGCAGAACAATTCAGCTATCAGCATTAACTGTTAGTGTTATTGTGAAACCTCTTTGGTTATAGAATATTTCATTTAAAGCGAGATTATACAAAATAATTTCCAGCTAGAAATACACCCCTGGAATCTAAAAGCAATCTAAATTAACACACTCTCGCAGGCTGGAGCTATACTGATAGGATTTGTAATTTGAGTATTTCCCCACATGATCTAAACAAAGTTATCAAAATTATATTAAGTAAATACATTTTGAGGAGTAGTAAACTTCTGAGAATCCTTAGAATATTAAAAGTAGAGTTCTGGAAGTAGCAGTAGTGGCCTAAAGGAAAAACCAACCGACACGGAGACCTCTAAATGCTCTCCATCGCCTTGAACTCGCTGAGCGCCTGCACCGGGCTGACGTGCTTCTTCTGGGACGCCCGCTTGATTTTGGTCTGGGTCTCGTCCTGCTTCTCCCTCTTGACCAGGGGCTTCTTCTCCGGAGCCTTCATCTTCCAGGACACGGCGGGGAGGTTGAGCGAGGCCATGCCCTGCGACTTCTGGTACTTGGTGGACGCCACGTAGGACGCCTTCACCGTCTGCACCACGGCGTTCATCAGGTTCTTGGCCGCCTGGATGAGGGACATGGCACTGTCCACCTGCCGGAGGAACGGCACAGTTACTCGAGGTGAAAGTGGCCGAGCAGCTCCATAGCAGTGCTGCAGGCTCTGCTGGAAGCAGCTATGGCTGCTCTGAATGGTTTTCCTCAGAATCTGCAGCCCAACCGCACAGCGATGTTCCCCTGCTGACAGCGCGGACCGAGGAGCACCATGCCTGCACACTGCTCCATGCTAATGGCAACCAAAGGGATTCGTGTTCCACTGTTTGCTTTTGTGACTAAGCTTTAAAAGCAGCTTATTCTCTAATGAAATTAGAAATATCTTAATTACTGATAATAAACATTTATATAAAGTTATGTTACAAAGGGAGGAACGCAGTGTTATCTTCAGCCAGGCCTGGAGCCCTTTGCGAGGTGGTTCTACTGACAGGAGCTTAAAAATGAGAACAAGACGACGTGGTTTTGGAAGCTGTAGTGTGTGGCTGATGGAGAGCCACACTGCAGGAGGTGAAGGCTGAGGTGTGTGCGGACGAAGCGGGGCTGACTGCACTGCGGGCTTTGTGCAGGGCTGCTTCATCCCATCCACCCCGCACAAGACCAGGACCTGCTGCTCATAAATACCAACAATCCTCAGCAGATGAGAGCTCAGCTCCCTCTCCACATCTAAACTGCAGCATGTGTACATCTAGGGAAGAGCTGAGGGAAAATCCAAGCAAAAAATGCCCAGCAGCAAACAGTGTGAGCAGGACTTGGAGGACTGCACGCTGCAGACCGTGGTGGCAATCTGAGCTGTGCCACGCAGCAAAGCATTGCCCTCCCCTGCCCCAGCCATCGCACTGCCAACGCTGCACTGCCGGCCACTACTTCCATGGCTCTTCACAGCGGGAGGAATCCCATCCATTGCACTGAAAGCAAGGAGGTGCTGTTCTAAAGGAGCTCTCAGATTGCTCAGGGTGCAGTGCCAGCTGCCTGGGCTGCGGCTCTGCCTTCACAAAATATTTGCTGCCTCAGGTTGGGGAGGACGCCGGCGCTGACGGAATTCCCTTGCAGACTCAAGGCCTTCCCCGGTAACCTGACAGAGCTGAACACAGCCCCAGCATCACTCAGCCCCATAGGCAGATTGGAGGGGAGCAGATAAAGCGGCAGATTAGATGGCAGATGCCTGCTCACATAACTAATTTATGGCAGGAGGGTATGTAAATTCTGAAGAAGCT